AATAGTTCTTTATTAACAGTTATTTTTTTATTGACATATAAAAATCGAGAATCATGACTTAAAAATCACACGCATTTATACATTATGTATATATATATATATATATATATATACCTATAGTATAAATTTCATTAGCATTATTAGAAATTTATTATTGTTTGTTATATTTAAATAATCGCGAAAATAATATCGAACCTTCCATAATTAGTCCAAAAACTTTCCAAGCTTATATACTATGTATATAATTTTTTTATATCTTACGATTGTATTTATTACAATAATTTACAACAGTAAAGTTAAACATTTTTTTTTAATTTTTTAGTTCTAAATCAACTAATTAACTTAATATTTATCAAAAACATGACTTTTCAAAGATACTGATATATACAGTGTCCCACAAGACCTTAAAAGGTTAAAAGATATTTGAGAGGATCGGAGACACGAGATCGTTTCAACATTCTTACAGCACGAATGCAAGATGTAATCGAAAACATAACGAAGTTGCCCTGAATGAAATGCTGTGTTGTAGATGCTCGTTCGAAGCGATAATAGCGCGACTCGGCTCGACTCTACGTGGCGTGCGTGCCAGTTTCTAATAAATAGTAATTAGCGAGCCGGTAATTAATACAGGAGCAATTCTAGTAGAGGGGCACAAAGCGTTGCGCATTCGTCGCGCCTCTATTTGCGATCGTCTCTGGTCAACCGACCTAGAGACTCGCCCACTATTTTCCACACCCTCTGTATTCCTCATCACCCCTTCCTTAATACTTACTTCTCTCGTGTGTGCAATGACCTCAGTGCTAATGCGACGATTATACTAATAAAATTTCCGTCCACTTTACGACCTCCATCTCGGCAAGACATTAGGAAGCGAGGAACCCCAGAAGAAGGCAAACATTCGCCCGCGCTTTTCTCCCCCTCATGAGCAAACAACGGCTCGTAGATCGAATTCATCCTTCACAGGATGCGAAAGTTCGGAGCGGAGAAGGCACGGTAGAAATTCCTGTTGGAACTCGAAACGATTAAAGGGGATTCCTTTGAAGCATCATATCGCGTGGAGTGATGCCTTTTGGAAAATCAGCTGGGGGTAAAACGGTGTATGATGCTTTCCTCTTCGGTGGCAGCTAATGATCTCACGTTTAGTTTCAATATAATTTATGTTCAGTTTGATATTTCAATATAATTCATATTCAACTTGATATTTTAAACGTAATTCATGTTCAATTTGATATTGTGTATGTGGATTATTAAGTAATAAACTCATTTATTTTGAAGCTTGATCATTAGAGCAATATTACGTGTTTCCGTTATTTCTGTTCTTGTAATATAATCTTTAGATCTTAATATTTATTCGTGTTTACAAAGATTGCACCATTATAAATTAAAAATGTATATTATTGTAGTTCTTTACATGAAAAAAAGCCTTTAATAAGGAGATCTACACATAATGTACCACGTAGTGTACATTCAGCGGCATATTTCATAAAGTCGTTGGACAAATAAGTTTCGTTTGAAGTTATATTCATAATTATCTTAGCAAATGCCTCTTAACGAGAGAAAGAGATGCGCGGGGAAACCAAGTGAGTGTTCGCGTACGCTTCGTAAACTTTGCAGAACTATGGGTGGCCACTTGTACTTAGAGCAAAGTTACGAAGTGTCATTAACCAACTGTATGTAACTTACTTAGTCCGTGTGCATCTCCAATCTGTTCATTACATGACTTTCTCTTGCTGTCTCACTTCATAAGCAGCTACGTTATTCCTGGTTTAAGTCAGTCTTATCTCTTAATATTAATGTAAATTCTTATATGAATTGTTATGTTCTTGGGAATCCCCATAATGTTTTCTCAAATTTTGAATATTTTTCATGTAGTATATAACGAAAAATGAATGAAATAGTTATCTTTATTCAATATAAATGCAATCATTGATATGGAGAAATTATTAGAAATCTCCCCAGAGTAATCCTGTATTACTTATTCACATGAATTTCGATGAGCATATCCCGCGGAAAAGGCATTGAGGGAGTTATCTGCTGCGCACCGCATCGCTGTTGCACGACACCGCTGCTCCCGGAGGTGCAACAATAATTATTTCTAATTTCCAGTTATGCAAAAATGTGCGAAGCTTAAGTACCCCAGATAATAATATCGGTCTCTCCCTAGACAGTCCCGGAGGTAACGTGAATTTTTTCTTGTAAATTATCCGTTCACGTCGAGAGTAAAAGCAATTTATCAAAATATTTTCAAATCGAATCTATATAATTTTTCATATACACGTTTTAAATCATTTCGGTTTGTATATTGTATTTATATATAAAATGTATCGATTTTCATATCCTTTATAATATCTCTTGTGATACTAATAAAAAGTATCGTATTAAACAAACAATGATAATATTAAACATGCAATGATTTGTAATTAATACGTAATATCAAACCTGTAATAAAATCTAACTGCATTTAATGCAAATGTGCACGTGTGCGACAAACTGTCATTCGTTTGCATATTTCGAGGAAGCTATGACATTATTGATTTACTGATAAGGCGATAAATGAATAAAAATTTTGTATGTATAATAAACTAAAACCATCATTACATAGTAGAAAATAGTAGAAAATAGTAGAAAATATATAAACGTTTTAAAAAATACATGATAATATAACAGGAAATATATGTGCACCACATAGAAATTACTTCGCAAGAATTATCATTTTTATAAACATATCGCAATGTCTATTTAAATTAGTTATTTTCTTTGAGCATGATATTATTTGAAAAATATGTTTGTGTTTTGTGTTCCTTTTCAATTTTCACCGTTGTTTCATTCGACATTTCTAAAATTTTAGCGCTTCAATACATCTTGACGAATGCAATGGGATTCGTCACGCTAATTTGCATGCGTATTTACGATTTCTATGGTACTTGTGCTAAATATCATTTCATTGTGCGCGTATGAAATGATGTAACTTTCAATAATTTCCCTGTAACAGATTTGATACTCCGTAGCGTGTGCATATTTTATCGTGGAATCACATTATATTCACACAAAGCACGGTGCTATCCGAAGATTTGTCTACATATTGAGCTCTGTGTTTATAACAGCACGTGGTTCGCATTAATTAGTAATTGACGCGAAACCAATATTAAATCACACTGGCTGAACTAAAGCACGCGCAATTCTTTGCGTTCGGTCAAACTTTGCGCTCCGTTAAAACGATACGGATTATCGAGAATGCATTACAATAAATTTTTGTGTAAGCATAGTGAGCCATGTGAGCATTCGATATACTGGCAAAATGCTACTCGTAAAATTCGAGTGATCCCGTGAAAATAAAGTGCTCCAAATAGCATTTTGTTTGTATTTCCATAAAAGACCAGGGATCTAGGTATTTTCGGTATCTTTTTCGTTTTATTCATAGTAAATTCGTAATACTTTTCAGTATTCAAACAATTAGTTTAAACTTACATTACATTGTGTGAAAAAAGTGACTTTTTCTTTTTGAAGTGTCATAGTACGTATCGCCGAAGATTTTTTCGCATTGAACACGAACCATCATCAGAATTCGCGTAGCACATCAGAATTTTTAGTAAATCGGGCTGAAATGGTACATCACCCTAATTTCCAATTATACTCCAACTAAAATCTACTAAAAACTCTAACTAAAAAATCCTAATATGCTACGTAAATTCTATCGATACGATGGTATTGTATTTAGTGCGAAAAAAATTTAGGATATGTATCATGGCACTTCAAAAGGGTAAAATGATTTTTGTTAAACTGTAGTTATACAGAAAATCTAATGTTTAACAATCGTAATTTGTATAATGTTGAAAATAAGTCGTACGATCGTGAACTAAAATCCATTTGAAAGTTCTTAAATTGTGTCTATTTTTAGATATCCTAGAGTCTAAGGCCTAGACTTTATTTAGAGTTTTTGTTGGTTGGTTTTGCTGTAAAAAATATTAAATAGTCAAAGACGTCATTTTTTTCTCATTTCACTCCAATTTACCCAAAATTCTGACTTGCTATGGAAATTCTGCTAAACGGTATCGAATTCAACACGAGAAAGTCTTCGGAATATGTATCGTGACACTTCGGAAGAAGTGTTAGAATTTATTGTTCTCTCGACAGATTAAACATACGTATTATTATATTATGTTCACTAAAATTTCCAATGATTTTAAGAAATATCGAATAATTGCGAATATTAACGAGTTGCTTGCATAGGAATAATTAGCAAAAAAAAAATATGTATCTATAATCAAACGTTGCAAATTATAATACCGGCAACCTCATTAACTATCATCGCACACGAATAATCGCGCTTGTTAATATGTTGCGTTTCTATTATTATACAAATGTTTAGCGCAGTGATACGTGAATCGAATACGATCGCACGTGTATGTAATCCCCGTGCACATGCGCGTTTCAGTATTCAGTATCGTCACAGCCAGTACAAACGATGTTTAGTCGCAGGAATATACTAATGGTATGTACATAGAAATATAGAGAAACGAATACACTGAGTATATTTACAATGAATTAACGGGTGCTTTAATGCAAACCTCCCCCTTGATCTACACCCCATTAGTTTAAACAGATACCCCATACCATCGCGTACACATCTGCACATCTACATAATTGGCGTCAGAGTATGTACCAAATTAAACATTCGCCAGTGAAAACTGAGCCGCGTCATATAACAGTATCCATGGGTTTAAGCGGAATGGATCACGTTTCGGATTCAATTGTCATTATGTTGCTCTTTTCATGGAGTACTAGCGATGTTTACTCATGCATTTATATTAATTCACAGAAGAATAAATATGCACGTGAGTTTAAAAAACAAATCTTTTAGAGAAGCATACACATTGTTAATAAAATCGACAAACTATGTAATATGTTTAAATATCTATGTAATATGTTTAATAATAATATAATGTTTCCGAACAGAATATTCTTAAAGCATGTAAAGTGTTGGTTGAACTGTTACTTACCTGAATACGTCTCGGTCGGTATTTGGTCACTTGGCACAGTGAAACTTCCTGATGCATTTGGTGGGCAACCATTTCGGTTTTGTTGCGTGCGTAAAGTATGCGTCGCATGTAAAGACGGTCCACGTGGCGGTACTTCCGGTGGCGCGGGTTCCGGAGGGGAATCCCTACCAGTATCTAAAAAATGCAAAACATATTTTTTTCTATTAGATTGCACATTGTTTCTTACAGCACGAATTGCGTTTTAATAAAACATGAACGAAATTTATTAAATAATATGCTAAACAACATCAATATGGATTATTTATTGTATAAACACGTATGATGTAGTATTAACAGCTTCAGATGAAATTGAAATTGATTATATGAGAAATCAAACTTTGATAATATTTACTATATAAAAAAATTATAGAAAATAACTATTGATCTTCGGAAAATTTAATCTCATAATTTTAATAATTTCTTTAATTTCTCAAATAACACATTCATTTAATATGTCGATAAAATCATTCGGTGTTTATCTTATGAATTATTGATTGAATGATTGTATCGGTGTAATTCCATCCATTGCGATATTGTTCTCTCTTACGTTCATGAAATTCTAGTCTTCCCATAGAAATGCCGCGAGCAATTAAGCGGCATCAATAATTAGGCATCTCCTCGTAACATTTTATGCATGCAAATTCAAAGAATCTATCTGCCATTACACGATGAAATTGATTACCCATTATAGACGAAGGAATATACAAGGAAATACTGAATAATAGTTGAGTACCATAATTGAGATATTAACGACGTATATTGCAATTCCAGTATCATTATCCAGCATAAATGCATTTTAAAAGCTGCGACAGCGACACAATGTGTTACGTGTCTCGCTTTGCACATGCGTATCTGTTCAGGCAATTCATGCATATACGTATATATAGTTAATATACTATATAATGGATATTATTATTTTCTAAGAATTTCATAAATTTTTGTGTTTGAAACATAAAGTAATTGTGGCGAGCTGCAATAAAACAATACTAAAAATTCCATTTCTACCCCTTCACCATTGGCCCTTCGGGGCTTAGCGTTGCGACCGTTCCTGTAGCTAAGTTACTTATAAAGTTGTTGAAACTCCAGAATAATTAAAGTTACCTAAACATAAAGAACATAAAAGAACGCTTACCAGGCATGTCGAGGGCAACAAAAATATTTGAGAGTCTACCCGGCAAAAGCTCTCTTATATTAGAAGAGGCCAATGTAATTGCTATTGAGAAATATTAAAACGCTGTTAATTAAATACTCAGTACAATCAGAAGTTTATTATTAGTTTTAAATTTTGTATCTTCTTCAAATCTAACATTTTTATATTATACTTATGCAGATACCATTTATGGCGAATTAGCCGAAACAGCCAACGATGATGTTATAAACCGATACTATGTTGAGCATATATACATAATTGGAGCAATGTATAACCATTAAAGGTTGTTAATGTTACAGTGCACATTATTGTAAATCAAGTTTAACTGCAATACAGTGGTCTATCGCGCTTTCGTGAAGCTACGTAACTTGGTTGTGGTAACTCGAATGTGGGCTAATGGAATTTCGGTCCCTGGTCCTGCGGATTAAAATCTATTAAGCGAATCGTTACAACTTATAGATGTGTGTTGTAAATGTCAAGACAATTACGCGAGCCACATAGTAAACAATAGCTTAACATCTTATAGTTACCGAAATTCTTTGCATCGACAAGCAAGTTAATAATAAGTAACTCTGTTTGACATTTAATGAAAAAAAGACTAAAGTTTTCAGACAATATTAATAACATTAAAAATATACAAGAAGATAATTATTGAAAAATCATAAAACAGTAATGGAATTTTTATGTGATGTTTTCCCACAATTAATTTTTGCGTTGTTTTTAATGATAATGGATAAAAGGCGAGAAGTACATATAATATATTGATATCAAATTTATACATTTGGTCTTCCTGCAGACTTACATACCTGTGAGATAAATAGGCCTGGGTAGACCTGTGCGACAGGAATGTGCAGAGAGAAAAGTGCATTAGTGCGACGGGATCGGTATGTGCATATGTGACGATTCCAACAAGAATTACGTCACGCAGATGAAATATATGATCAATTCAAACATTATTATAGATAGATTTACTTTAAATTAAATTTGCACGAAAACTAATGTTGAGCGTAATAAACGATCACAGTCCGTCAGATTTATATCCGTATATCAAAATTCTATATATAATTTCATTAAAATTATTGTGAGATAATTAATTTAAAAAAAAACAGATAGATAATATTAATAATTTCTTATTGACAGAGTTAGAAATTTCTGTTAATTAATCGATGCAATGTGAGAGCTCGAGATAGAACACAGAACAGAGTATAGCTGATTAATTTAATAATTTTACGGGAAAAACGAGATCACAAATGCATTTTAGAGTGTGATCGGACGACATCGAAGATTAATGCAATTGTCATGCATGTGAATGATAATGATATATCTGCAATATTCGCTTTCACTTCCTGACAACGCTTTGCATTGAGGCTATTTTAAATTTTCGATAATTTTCGCCGTTTTCACTTGATCGGATCGACATCTAATTAATCGTAGAAATTATAAACACGATAGAGAAATTATTTCTGCGAAGTCACCTGGGAGCAGCATCGATATTTTCCGTAATAAGCAGTAATAATCGCTTAATTAAACCGGACCGTGAAATGCGCAATGCGTAGCTGTCAGCGCCAGCCGCGTCCGTCGCGTATCTCGGACAACTTTACCGTCGAAATATACATTTGTTCCAGTTATTGAACAATTTGCCGGCATCGTTCGAGTGCTCGGAACACCTGTAACGCTCAATTACAAAGTCGATATTGCACCGACAACGGGGTTGGAAAAATCTCGGGGCTGATACCGAGCCGCTACAGAGAGGGTCGACCCCTCCTTTGAATCTGACAATGTATTATTTTGCAAGACATTTTATAACGATAAGCTATAAGCCACAGGATACAATCTGTCTTCGTGGTGGTTACATCGCTCTGCATGCGTATGCAGCAGCAAATTAAAGTTCGAGAAAAGTACATATTTGAAGAAAGTTCTTTTGAAATTGCGAAATATACTATAGATACATTAACGTTAAATTGCTAGAATGCGGGTGAAGGAATTAAAATCGGTTAAATTTAATTCGACGGTTAAATTGCCAAAAGCAAAAATATCTCGCAGCGAGCGCGCAGTGGAATTTGATGAATCTCCAGTAGATCAATTATATCGGCGATTGGTAACAAACAATTTTATTATCCATTTGATGGATATATTCGACATCATCTTTTTTTATACGTTTCGCATACATACACGTAAATCAATTACTTGCTAACGTAACATGTAATGTGAAGAATCGTTAAATTTGTTGACTTTCGCGCAAATTCTATTGAATTCTACGACTTATTGCACTGTATATGCAAATTCACCAGCATAACTAATTATACGTAGCAAGGATAGGCGATAACGCTACATGAAGGTTAAATCAATACGGTTCCAGCCAATTATAGCTAATGCTGGTACATCATTGACTAGTGGTCAAACCGCGTTACTGTCTCTCATAAAGCATAGGATAGCGTTTACAGAATGTGCAAAATAAATCATGCAGTTTCTGATGGCGATAGGTGCAATGCAATCTAATTTTGCAAAATGATGAACATATAACATGATATAACTCCGTAATATAGATTTCACTATTTACATAATGCGGCTTATTCCGCCATGGCAGAATATTACATTCAAATTAAAATTCACTCAATCTCCCCTTTACGAATATGAAAAAGACCATTTTTTTAGAAAGATTATAATTTGCTCATTTTTTGAGCAAATTATATTCTATATTCGCATAACTTAAGCAGCTTTATTTATATGAAAGCTGCAATTAAGTTTATTTCTAAAAATAATTTGTTATAATTTCTAAATAAATTTTTCCGTAATATTTTTACAAAAATTAAATCACATTATTAGGGTAATTAAATTATTTTAAATATGTCGTTCTAATATTTCAATCAACTTGCTTGACACAGTTTAGTG